TCTTTCCTTGTTTCGCACACAGAAGACAATGTCGTATGCAAACCCAGTTTGCCAAAACAAATTCAGAGGAGTCCGCTAGCAGCCATGGGGTTGTTGGGTGATGCAGTAGGTATCGTTGGTGGTGGTGGGTGGGGATGGGAGAAACATAGTGGGTATTTGATTTTAAATTAAAATATCAACTTGGGTTGGGGGGTTTGAAGAAACAAAGAGAGAGAGAGAGAGAGAGAGAGAGAGAGAGAGAGAGAGAGAGAGGAAAAGATACAGGTTGGGTGGCTTAGGAGCTGATCTCTGTTGTAATTTTGTTTTGCTTTTGCTCTGCTTCTCCTTGGCAGAGAGATTACAGATCAAATGATGAATGGAGGGATGGGGTTGGTGGGTGGCGAGGATTGTGGCGGCTGGGGGAGTGATTGGGTGTTAGGTAGGGTTTTTAATTATTAGAATATATATTAATTTTGTTATTTTAATTATTAGAATATTTAATTATATGTTTATCTATGTGGAGGTGGGCTCAACTTGCCATGTCACCCACTCAATTAGTGTAATGATTCATGTGTATGAAATTACCAAAAACCCATTCCATGCCATCAAATTTAACAGAATTTTGGATGGAGTTGATGACATGGGGCAAAGTGAGTCACCAAACCTCGGTCAAAGGATGAAAGTGGGTCATTTTAACGTGGGAGCTTTAGTTTTAAAACACAATATAGTTTACTAATTTTGGAAAATAGGAATACAATTTCATCTAATTAGCATAAGACCAAATACCAAAATGTAGTACCTAATTTTACAAAAATATCATTTAAAAAATCAAAATTACACACAATGCCACTCCTTCTAAACCAAGCATACTATGCCACATGTCCATATTTAGTCAACCGCCACCTCCGGCCAGCCACCCGCAGCCGATGAGCCACCCACGTCCAGCCACACCCATCGGCCACCATCTCTGGCCACCACAACCATCGACCACTGCCAGCCACCATCGCCGGCCACCTGTCATAGTCTGCAGGGGACCAACTCCGTTGCCCTTTATTCACCTTGTAAAAAAAAAAAAAAAAAGGTTTTTTGTCATTAAAGGAACTTGAACCTTGACCCTCAAAGGAGGGCTCACTCACAAACCACTATACCACACTTGATTTTGTAATATTTATTCAGTTATACAATATTTATATAAACAATCAATGGTTTTTAAATTTATTTTTTTAAAATAAAATAAAAAACCATTTCAACACTTATTTACACAAAAACTGCAAATAAAAATAGAAACTGCAACAAAAATACAATGTAGATATCAATTATGTTTAAAAAAACAAAAACACCTACAAAAACATAAATTAATTTTATTGAAGCAAAATGGAGGAACTAGGATGAAAGTACTAAAATGAAAACTGCGATGCAGAAACGAAAACTGCAGTGCATAAACAGAAACTATAATACAAAAATAGAAACTGCAATGCACAAATGGAAACTGCAATACAAAAAAGGAAACTGCAATGTTGAGTTTGGGCAAGGAAAGAGCAAAAATCTAATTGTAATTAAATGAAAACTGCAAGACAGTTTCCAAAGGTCTAATTTTCAGTTCCCTTGCTCTTAGGTAGTTCAACTCTTCTCTTGCCCACCCAATTCCTCATCTGGGTAGTCTCTACTCTTCAAATTTGTGCAGTTGAAGGCCAACGAAAGAGCAAAAATCCAATTGTAATTAAATGAAAACTGCAATGCAGTTTCCAAAAGTCCAATTTTGAGTTCCCTTGCTCTTGGATAGTTCTACTCTTCTCTTGCCCACCCAATTCCTCATCTGGGTAGCCTCTACTCTTCAAATTGGTGAGGTTGAAGGCCAAAGAAAGAAAGAAAATCAAATTGTAATTAAATGAAAACTGTAACACAGTTTCCAAAACTGCAATGCAGTTCCCAAAAGTCCAATTTTGAGTTCCCTTGCTTATGGGTAGTTTTACTCTTCTCTTACCCACCCAATTCCTCATCTGGGTAGCCTCTACTCTTCAAATTGGTGAGGTTAAAGGCCAAGGAAATAGCAAAAATCCAATTGTAATTAAATGAAAACTGCAATGCAGTTTCCTAAACTGCCATGTAGTTTGTGCAAAACTACAATGCAGAACCTGTACAATGTAGTTTTGCAATACCATTTCCAAATCAAAAAGTTCAAACCCATGCACCAAAAAGCTAAACCAAAACTTGATAAGAATTTCAATATTAGCAGCTCCATATTTTGGATTCGTTCATAAAATTGAACAAAAAAACACAATTTGACATTCAATTTCCAAGCACTCACCCAGGACAAATTGATTTGAATCCTAATATTCAAAGACTTGTATTTACAAAATAAACAAAATTCAAATGAAATTCTTGGTAAAATTACGGACAAAAAATCAAGTAGACATCAAATGCATGCTACTCTGCCTGCTAACCTTCGGGGGTGGGGGTGTTCGGGAATTGGATGCGCTTCCACTCGCAGGATTTTGCCGCCAAGGATCTTATCCTTGGCTCTGTTTCTTGTTGTAAGTTGGAATTTCCTGATGTCTCCTTTGTGAGTCACAGTGTCGGTACCAGCTACTACATGGTCACATTTGGGGAACACCCACCCATAAAAGTCCGGTGAGACATCATCACCAACATACATCTCAGCAAGATTCTCATAGTACACCATTTTATCATCAGGGATTTTGATTCTCTCTTACAAAAGGCAGAAACCAAGAATTTAATTAGAATGAATTAACACTGAACTAAGGGTAAACAATTAATCATATTTCAGCAATGCACATGGGGTTTAGCCTTTTACCAAAATTTTGACCAAATATAGAAGATACAACTAAAACTTTAAACAAAGGGTTTTTCTTGTTTTGATGCTAAGCTAACTACGTTTTTTTTAGAACAAATTAAAAATGCATGCCAAAAACCATGTCTCAATTTCGAGTTACTCACATAGATATAGTCATTTCAGCCAAATAAATACCAAGAAAAGAAAAGACTTTTATGCAAGCAGCCAGAATGTTAATTAACAACTTCAAATCAAAGAATTTGCCTAGTTCATTAACATAAAGCACAACAATTGAGTTCAAATTGAATTAGAAGTTCCTTTCTTCCACTAATTTTTATAATCAGATTGCAATTTCCTGCAAACAACTCCACATGCAAAGCTCACAGAGCAAGCATTAACGGATAATTTAAATACAAAATTAGTGAAACACCCATTCCTAGACATGAAACTATAAATATACCCTACACTATTTAAAACATAGAAACACACTCAAAATAAACCCAAAAATCGACAGCCGTCGATTTTTGGATTTAATTTCTATGTTAGATTACGGCTTTGACCTTTTCGTTTGAATTTTTTGAAACAGGCCCAAAACTCGCCAGTTATGATAGGAATTTGAAGAACAAATTTTGAATATGAGCAGCTCTCTGTATATTTCAACTCCAAGCTCAAAGTAGCTGGTTATAGTAGTGATTTCAAATTCAGTGACCCTAAAACTGCAGCTTTAGATAAAAAGAAGGAGAAGCCAGAAATGGAAGAGAACGAAGGTGTTCAGAACGCCGACGCCGGTGGTGAGTGCGAGAAGAACGAAGATGAAGACTATTTCTCTTTCGCCTGCACTAACCCCGACAAATCGCTGATTTTCACCGACGACATATTCCAAAATTACCAAATCCGTTTGGTGTTCCCGGTTTTCAACCTGGATCTCCTGTTTGCCGAATCCGATGACGGCGATTCTTCCATAGCCAGATGTTTCATATCGTAGATCGCAAGGTACAAACCTTCAACTACATTGCTGCCTAGAATTTCTTTTTTCTTCCTTTGCTCTGATTGTTGATTCTGTCATAGCTTTTGGTTCCTCTTTTGAGCACTTGTCCTCGAGTGGCTTAAGAGGGGAGATAGCTGCTTCTATATCCAATCTCACAATGATAGTCTTTGTAAGTGGTCTTACTGCATTTGCTAATGTAATGAGAAGGTAGACAATTCCGTTTAATGTAAATGAATTGAGATACTCATGATTTCAGGGATCTATCAAACAACAACTGAACAGGACCAATTCCAAAATTTTTGTCTAAATTCCAGAATTTGACTGTCCTGTAAGTTATTTGGTTATATGTCTAAAGTATTGTAAATGCTTAATTTGTTAGAAAGCACCGTGATAGATTTGATCTTTGCAGAAACTTGGAGAAAAACAAGTTCACAGGCTCGGTTCCGGTAGGACTGATTGAAAGAAAGAATAATGGTTTTCTATCACTAAGGTAAGCCTTTCATAGAAAATCATGGCCTTCAGATTCCGTGTTTGGCTCACCCTAAAATTGAGTGTTTTCTATTCTAATTTTCAAATATTCTCAGAATTTAAAATAATTAATTGTCAGGTATTTCCTTAGAAGGTTTATTTGCATGATTTTCAAATTTCTTTATAAAAAGTCTTTAGTGTTCTTGTCTCTTGCTGAATTGATGTGGAAAAGCCTCGTTTTGTTCTTTTTCGATGTGGGACTTACTGATAACAGAAAACTATTACTTGAGTTTCTAATTGTTTTTCTTCTTCTTATATTTACATCATAAAGGATCCAATATATCAGTGCCTGACAAGTGCATTTGACACAGAAAAGTTATAAAGCACTTGGTAGGATAGATTTCTACTGCCACATGCATATCACGCAAACATGGTGATTACAGCTTTGTGTGTGCCTCATATGCATGTTTCAAGTTAATATCTTAATTAGTTGACCCTTTTGTTTAAAATAGGTAGTCTCATCAAACTTGTGATTAATCACAAACTAAAGCACTGGTCATTTGCTTTTCCACAAAGGCATAATAATCTAAACTATCAATTATTTATGCTTTTTTACTTAGATTTAATCTAAGTTGAACCAAATAATTCACCCAATTTGAACCAAGACTCAAAGGGTCTCCAGGAGCCAAGCATGTGAGGATGGAAGACTGATTTTTATTTCATATTTTCAGTCAAGCCGTTAATGTGAAGATGCCATTTCGTCAGCCTCATGCTTTTCTTGCCTCCACACTTGTCATACTTTAAACCAGTACCTTTCCTCTTCTCATCTCACATCTCTCTTTCAGTAAGCATCTGCATAAGCAGAGTTAATTGAAGTTGAATCAGTTTCATCTCTCTTTATAATCGGAGACTGGTTTTGTTTATCATTTCCTTTATGTTTTCTGCTTTCTTTGTTTTTAGGATTTTAAGTGCAATATTGGATTAACACAGATAAGATGGTGAGGCCTGCTTGTTGTGAAAAGCTGCATTTGAAAAGAGGTATTTAGACTGAAGAGAATAAGTTTTTTCGATAATGTTTTTGTTTGAATTGAATTTCCTTTGACTCATTATGTCATGCTCTGCTTGTAGGCTCTTGACAAGATTAGATTTGAGAGTATAATTGACAAGAGCAAGCTTGATGGTCAGCCAGACAAAAACAATAATACCTTGACTATTATTGATAGTGGTATTAGAATGACCAAAGCTGGTAAGTTGATTTGTAGTATATAATTTATTATTTATGAGTGGTATGAACACTTGTTAACTTCTAGTAAGTGGTATGAACAATTGTTATACTGTTCATACCCTGCAATTGAGTTGATTTCTAGTACATAGTATTAACAGTGTTTGCTTAGTGTATGATTGAATTGAGATTTTGGCAATGGTGATATGGTGATTCAATTTGATTCTTCATTCTTTGGAGCGCCGATGATCCTAGAGTTGGTGGTAGTCAGAATTTTGGAATGAGTTTTTGGCATAAAATATTTAATTAGTCAATATGAGTCATTGCTATATTGCATTTTCTACTTTAGAATGATATAATATTTGGAATTAGAGATTTAGAATTCATTATGCTTGTTTTTCTCATTGTTGTTGACTTGTTTAGCTCTATCTATGTATGTTATCTGATGTTTGATTACTGAGAAAATTGAATAAAAGACAAGAAAAATGATAATTACTGTTCTTGGATTTAGATTCTCAGTGATCTAGGTTCTTTGTGATTTTAATGTGTAAAACACTATTTAGTGTTAACTTGGTTTTGATGTTTGGTACTATTTGGGTTCTTTATCGTACCTATTATGCAAATGAAATGACGTAGTTTTTAACTACCAGTAAGTGGTATGAATAGTTGTTATACTGTTCATACCCTGCAACTGAGATGATTTCTATAACATAGTATTAACAGTGCACTTCTATAACATAATATTAACAGTGTACTTTTATGACATAGTATTAACAGATTTTTAGTAACAAAGCATACTTTATATTTTGCTCTATATATAGTTATGCACTTGAAGTTTATGATATGCATAAGAAGATAGTGTTATGACATAGTATTAACAGTGTTTTTTTTTCTTCTTGTAAATGTATTTTCTTTTGTCTTTGCGATTGTTTCTGGTGAAACTGTGAACAATTGAATGTGGTTTCTACAAAGGATATCAAATGTTTTGCTGGGCTCTTTTTTTGGGTTTTTTGAGTTTTTTGTATGAGATGATATTAACAATATACTTCTATAACATGGTATTATTAATGTACTTCTATAGTATGATATTAATAATGTATTAAGGGCTTGCTGGGCTTCTTTTGGGTTTTTCTTTTAGTTTTTTGTGTTGGGCTTATTTTAAGTTAATTAATGGCAGTCATGTAATTTATAGGAACATCAACACTCATTTATTATGTAGTAAATGGATTTTGGGTGTGTTTTTAAAGTGCATTCATGTGAGGTTTTTTTTATAATTTCAATCCCTATTTTGGGTATATTAGTGTAGCTCCTTAATTTAAAACAAAGCAAGTTCATAATTTACCTGAAAGGTAATGGCATACTCATAATCACCAGCATCAATACTCTTACCCACTCTAGAATTAGCCCCATCGGCTCCAATCACAGCATCAACCTCCAAACTCTTCTTCACATCAGCCCCACCGACCTTCCCATCATACTCTGTAATGTAGAACGTACGGCGCCTCCCCATCTCCCGGTTTCTCCATCTTCAGAAACAACCCATTTATCACGATCGCCCCATTCTCACTAGCCCTGTTCCTTAAGTACTGGTCCAACACCTCACGCCTCATCATGGCGATGTGGTCATCTTTGCTGCGGAAGGAGAGAGAGAGAGAGAGAGAGATAGAGATCTGATCAACGAAAAGGGGATCTGATGAACAAAAAGTGAAACCAACGAATTTGGGTCAGGCTTTTAAACAAATAAGGTATACTTGTCTTTTTAGTAATTAATGTAAGGCCAACGAATCTGGGCCTCCTCTTGGGCTAAATCCAAAACAAAATTCAATTCCTATATATTAAAACCAAAACAGAAATACTGTTTGTCTCAAATACTAATGAGTGCTGCTATTTCCACCTACACACCTTATCTTCCCACCCACCATATACATTTTAAAAAACACAATCCTATTTTTACGCCCACCAATATTCCTAAAATACCCTTTTAATTATTACCTAATTTCCTCTCTCCTTTATTCTCTTTGCTCATGTCTTCTCTCTCTCTGACGGCCCACACATCTCTCTCTCATTTTTGCTATATCTTATTTTCCATATCTCACACTCCATCTTTGTCTCTGTCTCTCATGTTTACTGAACTAAAACAGTTTTTTGCTGTAATTTTTATTTCTATTTTTGTAAATATGGATTCTATGAATATAATCACATTTATGCTCTTAGCTTTCTACTATTGTAAGTAAACTTTTTCTCCAGAGTTATCCAAGGACCAGAAATCTATTGAACTTTGCAATAAAAAAAAATATAAAACGCTCATTCTTAAGACATGGGAATGTCAAAGAGTACAAAGCCAAATAGATAAGGAAAAAACAACAATATTTGCCCAATTCATATGTCTCACCCTTGAATTTGTTAAAAGACCAAGTTCAATCATCATTAGATGCAATTGTTTCTCTAGTTATAACAGTAGACCTTGTAATATTTATGAATTGTTGTATGCGAGTGATGTATGGGGGGGCCCATTCGGTAGTCCACCATTCTTGGTATCTGTCCCAGTTTGTTCCTATAGGGGGAATTGGATGACTTGGCTTCAAGAATACTTGCACAAAGGTGTAAATATATATAGATAAGGATATATTTATAAAATAAACAACTTATATTCAGATTATAAAATACTTGCACAAAATGACGATTGATGAATCCGATATCGATCTCTTTACAGTCTGATAGTGGCAATGGTCTTGATTTAAGAGGTAAGAACTTTAGACATTGTACATTAGATAGGTGCACAAGTACAACATCATAACATGATGCAATAATATGGCCCATGTCAAGCATAGTCATCCACCGAATAAAATTTGCATCAGGTCCAAAGTAAGCCAATGAGTGCTTTGGCTCATAGACCCTATTTTCAGACCCATAAAGTGTTGAATAGCGAACTGAATAAGACTCAAGCTCATTCAATAAATCTCTTCTTACTTGTACCCATCCATCCTCACCATAAACTAATAATGTTGCAATAGCTCTGCACCGACAATGTCCATCTGCTGCCACATCTTTTACATGATGGATGTACGACCTTAATGCTTTTGGAAATGCATTAACAAACTCAACTGGCTTATGTAGCGGGGTGCGATACACCTGCACACATGTATATAGTTAGTTATAAAATTACTATAGACGTGCAGCTTATATCATCTTGCTATGATAAATATATAAATATATTATACCCACCCTCTCCTTCGGTCGTCTCTTTTGTTTTGCACTCACTTTAGAAGGAAGACCACCAACACTACATCCATCCAACCTAGGTGAATCTACAACCTCAAACAAGGATGGATCACGACGAGTAGATTTATCCATCTTCTTACCTGGCCTACCTCGAGTCTTAGTTTTCACAAATGGTTCCACAAGTGAAGTAGTTTGTGGTGCTACTAATTCCATAAGTTTCCTTTTAACAATCATTTGTGTAATTGCATCAGACTTCATCCAACGCCCATGAAATAACTTCATCTCTGCATCATAGAAACATTCCGATGTTTTTCTTTTAAGTGCACATGTCATGTCAAGTTGCCTCCAATGAGAATCAATGCACTCAAGTGGAATAGGTTTACTGTCTTTCTTGTACTTTACAATCTCATGAGCACATGGTAACCCATGAGTTAGTCGTAACACACAGCCACACGCCTCAGAGTCAATACCATAATTGTTAGCTAGCTTGCTCTCCTCGAGTACCATATATAGTGCACTAATTGAGACAAAACCACGAAGTTCCTCAAAATCTAAACTTCTAAGATCATGATACACCACTATCAAAATTTTCTCGAACGAAGTCTTAATTTCAGTGTGTTGCAACTCAAGTAAAGCGTGTATACTAATTAGTAAAGATAATTATGTCTAATACCTAATTTTTATTTGGCTTAAGTGCTACAGTGACCCACTTTGCCCCCTTGACCAATGTTTCTTGTTTCACTTAACCACTTTCCGTCTACCCCATTCCAAATTTCGTTAAACCAATGACCTGACAGGGGTAGTTTGGTCCATTCAACTGAGCTGGGATTTTTCCCACCAATCTGAGGGTGTGACGTGTACATGTGGAGCCCACCTCTAACATCTGATATAGCTCCAACGGATTGATTGCCTGCTGATGTGGAATTTGGGGACCCATCTAACAAAACAGCCACGACAATCAGTGTTAGAACTCAAAAATGAAAACATAAAATCAGATTGGGAGGGAAAATTGAGATTTGGGGATTATAGATCTAGGGTTTGAGAATAAGGATCGAGAAAGGGAGAGCACTCTCAGTTGGTTTCGACAACTACTTGAAGGCAAGAAGAAGTGACGCGACTGACTCGACTCAACGACGATGCCCGTTTGGCGAGAAGCAGGAGCAGGGCAACCTGTAAATGATTCTTCTGAAAAGGGACCTGTTTTCTAAAAAGGAATCTTGTCCTTTGACGTGGAAAAGAATCTTGACATGATAGTGATACGCATTGTGTAGAAATTGATATTTAGGTCTTTTTGTGTTATGTGTTGTCGGCAAAGGAGGTTCTAAAGCAGTATACCTTTCCTGATGTGGTCCCGTTTTTGTTTTCTTCTAGTTAGGTTTGAATATATTAATCGAACCGTGGTTGTTGTCTTGCTTTTAATAAGTGTCTTAGAATACTATTTAGCTTTTGTTAAAAACAAACCCTTTTTGTTTCTGTGTAGAGGACAAAGACTTGGTAACTTTTGAAGTGCATCATGGTGACAGAATTGTGAAAAACAAGCAGAATAAGTAGTGTTATATTGGTGGGTCTGTAGGATATTTGGATTGGTGTACTGTAGAGTATATAAATATGTTAGAGATGTGGGAGCAAGTGAAACTGCTTGGGCACATGGGGAAAGTATCTCTTAAAGGAGTAGTAAATGAGGAGTTACTGGATATAAACAAGGATGCTGATCTGTTAAGTTTGTGTGATAAGGTACCACTTTCTTATAAG